AATGAGACACCTGGAGTACCCACACCTTTTCACGGAGACAATGAGACACCTGGGGTACCCACACATTTTCACGGAGACAATGAGACACCTGGAGTACCCACACATTTTCATGGAGACAATGAGACACCTGGAGTACCCACACATTTTCATGGAGACAATGAGATACCTGGAGTACCCACACATGCACACACTCAAACACTGCTGTACCCACACATGTACACACTTACACACTGCTGTACCCACATATGTACACACTCACACACTGCTGTACCCACACATGCACACACTCAAACACTGCTGTACCCACACATGCACACACTCAAACACTACTGTACCCACATATGCACACACTCAAACACTGCTGTACCCACACATGCACACACTCAAACACTGCTGTACCCACACATGCACACACTCAAACACTGTGTACCCACACAGGCACACACTCAAACACTGCTGTACCCACACATGCACAAGCAGATACCAGGAGTACACATCATGCCAAATTTGAACATTGGCTGTACTATTTTAGATTTTGATCCCATGATGCCACAGTGTTGTGGTTTTCCTATTTGCCTAACATGCAGCAGGTCCTAGGATCAAGCCCTCATTGAAGTTTTTTTAACCATACTATTTGTTTTTTCTGTATTTTCGGACTCACTGTTCAAGACTTTCAACTGAAATTGTTTAAAAAGTAATAAAAGGATGATTACAATTAATTATGACAAAATTGGGAGTGGCAAGACAGGTCTTTCCCAGTGTGGGCATTAACATCCCACTGTGGGCACTAGCATTCCACTGTGGGCACTAGCATTCCACTGTGGGCACTAGCATTCCACTGTGGGCACTAGCATTCCACTGTGGGCACTAGCATTCCACTGTGGGCACTAGCATTCCACTGGGAGCATTACTATCCCACTGGAAGAACTACTATCCAACTGGAAGAACTACTATCCCATTGGGGGCACTACTATCCTACTGGCGGCAGTACTATCCCACTGGGGGCACTACTGTCCCACTGGGGGCAGTATTATCCTACTGGGGGCAGTACTATCCCACAGTGGGCACTACTATCCTACTGGAAGCACTACTATCCTACTGGGGGCAGGACTATCCCACAGGGGTCACTACTATCCTACTGGGGGCACTACTATCCTACTGCGGGTACTACTATCCTACTGGGGGCACTACTATCCTACTGGGTGCAGTACTATCCTACTGGAATCACCACTATCCCACTGGGGGCATTACTATCCACTGGGGGCACTACTATCCACTGGGGGCATTACTATCCCACTGGGGGCACTACTATCCACTGGGGGCACTACTATCCCACTGGGGGCAGTACTATCCCACTGGGGGCAGTACTATCCCACTGGGGGCACTAATATCCCACTGGGGGCACTACTATCCCACTGGGGGCACTACTATCCACTGGGGGCATTACTATCCCACTGGGGGCACTACTATCCACTGGGGGCATTACTATCCCACTGGGGGCACTACTATCCACTGGGGGCACTACTATCCCACTGGGGGCACTACTATCCACTGGGGGCACTACTATCCACTGGGGGCACTACTATCCCACTGGGGGCACTACTATCCACTGGGGGCACTACTATCCCACTGGGGGCACTACTATCCACTGGGGGCATTACTATCCCACTGGGGGCACTACTATCCACTGGGGGCACTACTATCCCACTGGGGGCACTACTATCCACTGGGGGCATTACTATCCCACTGGGGGCACTACTATCCACTGGGGGCACTACTATCCCACTGGGGGCACTACTATCCCACTGGGGGCAGTACTATCCCACTGGGGGCACTACTATCCCACTGGGGGCACTACTATCCCACTGGGGGCACTACTATCCACTGGGGGCACAACTATCCCACTGGGGGCAGTACTATCCCACTGGGGGCACTACTATCCACTGGGAGCACTACTATCCCACTGGGGGCACTACTATCCCACTGGGGGCACTACTATCCCACTGGGGGCAGTACTATCCCACTGGGGACAGTACTATCCCACTGGGGGCAGTACTATCCCACTGAATGCACTGCTATCCCACTAGGGGCACTACTATCTCACTGGGAGCATTACTATCCTACTAGGGGCACTACTATCTAACTGGGAGCATTACTATCCCACTGGGGGCACTATTATCCCACCGGGGGCACTACTATCCCACCGGGAGCATTACTATCCCACTGGGGGCACTAGCATTTCACTGGAAGCATTACTATACCACTGGGGGGCACTACTATTCCACTGGGGGTACTACTATCCCACTGGGGGCACTACTATCCCACTGGGGGCACTAGCATTTCACTGGAAGCATTACTATACCACTGGGGGGCACTACTATTCCACTGGGGGTACTACTATCCCACTAGGGGCACTACTATCCCACTGGGGGCACTAGCATTTCACTGGAAGCACTACTATCCCACTGGGGGCACTACTATCCTACTGGGGGCACTACTATCCTACTTGGGGCACTAGCATTTTACTGAAAGCTCTAGCATTTCACTGGAAGCCCTTCTATCCCACTGTGGGCACTACTATCTGACTGGGGGCACTACTATCCCACTGGGGGCACTACTATCCCACTGGGGGCACTACTATCCCACTGGGGGCACTACTATCCCACTGGGGGCACCACTATCCCACTGTGGGCCCTAGCATTTCACTGTAAGCACTACTATCCCACTAGGGGCACTACTATCCCACTGGGGGCAGTACTATCTGACTGGGGGTACTACTATCCCACTGGGGGCACTACTATCCCACTAGGGGCACTAGCATTTTACTGGAAGCACTACTATCCCACTGGGGGCACTAGCATTTTACTGGAAGCACTACTATCCCACTGTGGCACTACTATCCCACTGTGGGCACTATTATCACACTGGGGGGTGTTAATAGCCTATGGTGCAGTTAGGAGTAATGACCAAACATACTCAGTAGTGGAGACAAAGATTAAGTAAAGAATAGGAAAATACAATTTTGTTTTACTGTCCGAGGCGAAGCCAGCCAAATAATTTTAGCAATAAAATAAATGGAAGAACTGCTGCAGGTGTGAATAAACAACTGCATGTGTGAATAAACAACTGCATGTGTGAATAAACAACTGCATGTGTGAATAAACAACTGCATGTGTGAATAAACAACTGCATGTGTGAATAAACAACTGCATGTGTGAATAAACAACTGCATGTGTGAATAAACAACTGCATGTGTGAATAAACAACTGCATGTGTGAATAAACAATTGCATGTGTAAATAAAGAACTGCATGTGTGAATAAACAACTGCATGTGTGAATAAACAATTGCATGTGTAAATAAACAACTGCATGTGTGAATAAACAATTACATGTGCGAATAAACAACTGCATGTGTGAATAAACAACTGCATGTGTGAATAAACAACTGCATATGTGGATAAACAAATATATGTGTAAATAAACCACTGCATGTGTGAATAAACAACTGCATGTGTGAATAAACAGCTGCATGTGTGAATAAAAAATTACATGTGTGAATAAAAAGCTGCATGTGTGAATAAACAACTACATGTGTGAATAAACAACTGCATGTGTGAATAAACAACTGCATGTCTGGATAAACAACTGCATGTATAGATAACAAGTGCATGTGTGAAGAAACAACTGCATGTGTGAAAAAAACAACTGCATGTGTGAATAAAAAACTGCATGTGTGAATAAACAACTGCATGTGTGAATAAACAACTACATGTGTGAATAAACAGCTTCATGTGTGAATAAACAACTACATGTGTGAATAAACAACTGCATGTGTAAATAAACAACTGCATGTGTGAATAAACAACTGCATGTGTGAATAAACAACTGCATGTGTGGATAAACAACTGCATGCATAGATAACAAGTGCATTTGTGAAGAAACAACTGCATGTGTGAAAAAAACAACTGCATGTGTGAATAAACAACTGCATGGGTGAATAAACAACTGCATGTGTGAATAAACAACTGCATGTGTGAATAAACAACTGCATGTGTGGATAAACAACTGTATGTATGAATAAACAACTACATGTGTGAATAAACAACTGCATGTGTGAATAAACAACTGCATGTGTGAATAAACAACTGCATGTGTGATTAAACAACTGCATGTGTGGATAAACAACTGCATGTGTGGATAAACAACTGCCTGTGTGGATAAACAACTGCATGTGTAATTAAACAATTGCATGTGTATGTTAATAGATCTCTGTTTATGAGGTTACTGGATGTTTCCTGGGTGGTCATTTCCTTCAATGGATCCATTTCTGTAAGTTGTTAGGATGGGTCAGAGGGTTACTTGAGGGGATCAGTTTCTCTGGGTCGACTGGGTGGGAAATGAGAGTGGGTTTCTTGAGCGGATGAGTTTCTCTGAGTCTACCTAGTCGCCTAAATAAGTGTTGTATAGCAGCTTGTCAGGCTGGCTGATATCTGGTTGCTTTAAATGTTCATCACATGCTGGTGTCATAAAACAGCTCCACAACTAACCTCCCTTTCCCCCCCCCCACCTCCCCCACCACTCTGCCACATGATCTGTACCCTAATTGTAGCTTGCCACAAGATCTGTACCCTAATTGTTGCCTGCCACATGATCTGTACCCTAGTTGTTGCCTGCCACATGATCTGTACCCTAGTTGCTGCCTGCCACATGATCTGTACCCTAGTTGTTGCCTGCCACATGATCTGTACCCTAGTTGTTGCCTGCCACATGATCTGTACCCTAGATGTTGCCTGCCACATGATCTGTACCCTAGTTGCTGCCTGCCACATGATCTGTACCCTAGATGTTGCCTGCCACATGATCTGTACCCTAGTTGTTGCCTGCCACATGATCTGTACCCTAGATGTTGCCTGCCACATGATCTGTACCCTAGTTGCTGCCTGCCACGTGTGTCCAGCAATCCTCTAATCTGACATCCCCCAATACATTCCTCTCAAGGTCACCTAGAGAATGTAAACGTAAACTCAAACAAAAACAACAAAGTGAATTGTTTACTGACAGATCACAGTAAGTAAAAAGTAAAGGTCCTTTTTCCCATGCCTTTAGACATACAGGGCATATAGGGCTAGGCCTACATTGTTATAGATCAATCGGCACAAGATGGTTGATGTGGTTAGCATCACGGCGGCCACCTTTACTTCCCAGGACTGTACCCAGTACTCATTTAAGGCTGGGTCGACCTGGGATACAAGATCATTTTTTGAAAGAACGAACCCACGACCTTCTGATCCACACACAAGCGTCTAGCCGCTACGCCATGTCGACTTCCGACAGATAAAAGTAACAAGTAATAATAAACAAAAAATACAAAATAAATATGAGATCTTTCATCTGGAGCCATGGTGCAGCTGATTAGGCAACTAATGTAACAATCTGGAGCCATGGTGCAGCTGATTAGGCAACTAATGTAACAATCTGGAGCCATGGTGCAGCTGATTAGGCAACTAATGTAACAATCTGGAGCCATGGTGCAGCTGATTAGGCAACTAATGTAACAATCTGGAGCCATGGTGCAGCTGATTAGGCAACTAATGTAACAATCTGGAGCCATGGTGCAGCTGATTAGGCAACTAATGTAACAATCTGGAGCCATGGTGCAGCTGATTAGGCAACTAATGTCACATTTATATAACTGATGTGACCAACCATTAACATAAAGTTTATCTCTATGTTGCGAACAACAACTGACATAACATCTATTTTTCTAATGTGACAAACACTTAACATAAAATTTATCTCTCTGATATGACCAATCACTGAGATAAAGTTAATCTCTCTGATGTGTCAAACAATTACTGCAAAGTTTATCTCTCTGATGTGACCAATCACTGAGATAAAGTTAATCTCTCTGATGTGTCAAACAATTACTGCAAAGTTGATCTCTCTGATGTGACCAACATCTGACATAAAGTCATCTCATTATGCCAACAAAAAATTCTTTGAGAGAGGACAGGTGCCACAAAAACATTCTGACTGTGTGTCCTGTGTGCTCCAATAACATTCTGATTGTGTGTCCAGTGTGTCACAATAACATTCTGACTGTGTGTCCAGTGTGCCCCAATAACATTCTGATTGTGTGTCCAGTGTGCCCCAATAACATTCTGACTGTGTGTCCAGTGTGTCACAATAACATTCTGATTGTGTGTCCAGTGTGCCCCAATAACATTCTGACTGTGTGTCCAGTGTGTCACAATAACATTCTGACTGTGTGTCCAGTGTGTCACAATAACATTCTGACTGTGTGTCCAGTGTGTCACAATAACATACTGACTGTGTGTCCAGTGTGTCACAATAACATTCTGACTGTGTGTCCAGTGTGTCACAATAACATTCTGACTGTGTGTCCAGTGTGTCACAATAACATTCTGACTGTGTGTCCTGTGTGTCACAATAACATTCTGACTGCGTGTCCAGTGTGTCACAATAACATTCTCACTGTGTGTCCAGTGTGTCACAATAACATACTGACTGTGTGTCCAGTGTGTCACAATAACATTCTGACTGTGTGTCCTGTGTGTCACAATAACATTCTGACTGTGTGTCCAGTATGTCACAATAACATTCTGACTGTGTGTCCAGTGTGTCACAATAACATTCTGACTGTGTGTCCAGTGTGTCACAATAACATTCTGACTGTGTGTCCTGTGTGTCACAATAACATTCTGACTGTGTGTCCAGTATGTCACAATAACATTCTGACTGTGTGTCCAGTGTGTCACAATAACATTCTGACTGTGTGTCCAGTGTGTCACAATAACATACTGACTGTGTGTCCAGTGTGTCACAATAACATACTGACTGTGTGTCCTGTGTGTCACAATAACATTCTGACTGTGTGTCCAGTGTGTCTCAATAACATTCTGATTGTGTGTCCAGTGTGTCACAATAACATTCTGACTGTGTGTCCAGTGTGTCACAATAACATTCTGACTGTGTGTCCACTGTGTCACAATAACATTCTGATTGTGTGTCCAGTGTGCCCCAATAACATTCTGATTGTGTGTCCAGTGTGCCACAATAACATTCTGATTGTGTGTCCAGTGTGCCACAATAACATTCTGACTGTGTGTCCAGTGTGTCACAATAACATTCTGACTGTGTGTCCAGTGTGTCACAATAACATTCTGACTGTGTGTCCAGTGTGCCACAATAACATTCTGACTGTGTGTCCAGTGTGTCACAATAACATTCTGATTGTGTGTCCAGTGTGCCACAATAACATTCTGACTGTGTGTCCAGTGTGTCACAATAACATTCTGACTGTGTGTCCAGTGTGTCACAATAACATTCTGACTGTGTGTCCAGTGTGTCACAATAACATTCTGACTGTGTGTCCAGTGTGTCACAATAACATTCTGACTGTGTGTCCAGTGTGCCACAATAACATTCTGACTGTGTGTCCAGTGTGCCACAATAACATTCTGACTGTGTGTCCAGTGTGTCAAAATAACATACTGACTGTGTGTCCAGTGTGTCACAATAACATTCTGACTGTGTGTCCAGTGTGTCACAATAACATACTGACTGTGTGTCCAGTGTGTCACAATAACATACTGACTGTGTGTCCAGTGTGTCACAATAACATTCTGACTGTGAGTCCTGTATGTCACAATAACATTCTGACTGTGTGTCCAGTGTGTCACAATAACATTCTGACTGTGTGTCTGGTGTGTCACAATAACATTCTGACTGTGTGTCGAGTGTGTCACAATAACATTCTGACTGTGTGTCCAGTGTGTCACAATAACATTCTGACTGTGTGTCCAGTGTGTCACAATAACATTCTGACTGTGTGTCCGGTGTGTCACAATAACATTCTAACTGTGTGTCCAGTGTGTCACAATAACATTCTGACTGTGTGTCCAGTGTGCCACAATAACATTCTGACTGTGTGTCCAGTGTGTCACAATAACATTCTAACTGTGTGTCCAGTGTGTCACAATAACATTCTGACTGTGTGTCCAGTGTGTCACAATAACATTCTGACTGTGTGTCCAGTGTGCCACAATAACATTCTGACTGTGTGTCCAGTGTGTCACAATAACATTCTGACTGTGTGTCCAGTGTACCACAATAACATTCTGACTGTGTGTCCAGTGTGCCACAATAACATTCTGATGGTGTGTCCTGTGTGTCACAATAACATTCTGACTGTGTGTCCAGTGTGTCATAATAACATACTGACTGTGTGTCCAGTGTGCCCCAATAACATTCTGACTGTGTGTCCAGTGTGTCACAATAACATTCTGACTGTGTGTCCAGTGTGTCACAATAACATTCTGACTGTGTGTCCTGTGTTACCATGAGGACCTTGGTGTCATTAGAGAATCCCAGAATGGCTGAACCTGGCTGGCGAAGCAAACCTGGAGACTTTGTCACAGTGGAGGCAGGGGTCGGTGTCCATTGTTGATGTCATGGAGACATTAGAGAACTCTGGGGGAAGGGTGGTGCTGATGTCATGGGGACATTAGAGAACTCTGGGGGAAGGGTGGTGCTGATGTCATGGAAACATTAGAGAACTCTGGGGGAAGGGTGGTGCTGATGTCATGGAGACATTAGAGAACTCTGGGGGAAGGGTGGTGCTGATGTCATGGGGACATTAGAGAACTCTGGGGGAAGGGTGGTGCTGATGTCATGGAGACATTAGAGAACTCTGGGGGAAGGGTGGTGCTGATGTCATGGGGACATTAGAGAACTCTGGGGGAAGGGTGGTGCTGATGTCATGGAGACATTAGAGAACTCAGAGTGAAGGGTGGTGCTGATGTCATGGGGACATTAGAGAACTCTGGGGGAAGGGTGGTGCTGATGTCATGGAGACATTAGAGAACTCTGGGGGAAGGGTGGTGCTGATGTCATGGGGACATTAGAGAACTCAGGGGGAAGGGTGGTGCTGATGTCATGGGGACATTAGAGAACTCAGGGGGAAGGGTGGTGCTGATGTCATGGGGACATTAGAGAACTCAGGGGGAAGGGTGGTGCTGATGTCATGGAGACATTAGAGAACTCAGGGGGAAGGGTGGTGCTGATGCCATGGGGACATTAGAGAACTCAGAGTGAAGGGTGGTGCTGATGTCATTGAGAAAGCATACCAGCTTTAGTTTATCAGACATATCTAACTTAGACAGATCAGGAAAGCAACCCAGGACCTCACGTCAAATGTCTCATAGAATAACAACTGAGACTGCTCACAGCAGAAATCCAAATGCTATAATATTCAGTATAATGACAAATGAGAGCACTCTCACCTGTGACTGACGGGAACTGTGACACCTCTCTCGTATTCATCCACATCGGCCAGATCCTCATCTAGAGACCGGGACAGCTGCTGGAGGAAAACATCCAAGGCCTGCCACAGAGATAAACAGACAAACTTCTACATCAGTGAGAATAATACAACACATCAATGTACTTTGGTAGCCAACTCAACATATAAAGATATACATGATAGTACAGAGACACATCTACATGACAGAACATGGGGAAAACATATACATGACAGAATAAATAAATATCTACATGACAGAATAAATAAATATCTACATGACAGAATAAATAAATATCTACATGACAGAATAAATAAATATCTACACGACAGAATAAATAAATATCTACATGACAAAATAAATAAACATCTACATGACAGAATAAATAAATATCTACATGACAGAATAAATAAATATCTACACGACAGAATAAATAAATATCTACACGACAGAATAAATAAATATCTACATGACAGAATAAATAAATATCTACATGACAGAATAAATAAATATCTACACGACAGAATAAATAAATATCTACACGACAGAATAAATAAATATCTACATGACAAAATAAATAAACATCTACATGACAGAATAAATAAATATCTACATGACAGAATAAATAAATATCTACACGACAGAATAAATAAATATCTACACGACAGAATAAATAAATATCTACATGACAGAACATGGGGAAACATCTACATGACAGAATAAATAAATATCTACATGACAGAATAAATAAACATCTACATGACAGAACATGGGGAAAACATCTACATGACAGAACATGGGGAAACATCTACATGACAGAACATGGGGAAACATCTACATGACAGAATAAATAAACATCTACATTACAGAATAAATAAACATCTACATGACAGAATAAATAAACATCTACATGACAGAATAAATAAACATCTACATGACAGAACATGGGGAAAACATCTACATGACAGAACATGGGGAAACATCTACATGACAGAATAAATAAACATCTACATGACAGAATAAATAAACATCTACATGACAGAATAAATAAACATCTACATGACAGAACATGGGGAAACATCTACAAGACAGAATAAATAAACATCTACATGACAGAACATGGGGAAACATCTACTTGACAGAATAAATAAACATCTACATGACAGAATAAATAAATATCTACATGAGAGAATAAATAAATATCTACATGACAGAACATGGGGAAACATCTACATGACAGAATAAATAAATATCTACATGACAGAATAAATAAATATCTACATGACAGAACATGGGGAAAACATCTACATGACAGAATAAATAAATATCTACATGACAGAATAAATAAATATCTACATGACAGAATAAATAAATATCTACATGACAGAACATGGGGAAACATCTATATGACAGAATAAATAAATATCTACATGACAGAATAAATAAATATCTACATGACAGAATAAATAAACATCTACATGACAGAATAAATAAATATCTACATGACAGAATAAATAAATATCTACATGACAGAATAAATAAACATCTACATGACAGAATAAATAAATATCTACATGACAATAAATAAATATCTACATGACAGAATAAATAAATATCTACATGACAGAACATGGGGAAAACATCTACATGACAGAATATAGAATCATCTACACGAAAGAATTAAAAAACATCTATGTGTCAGAACACAAAAACATAGACATGACAGTAAGGAAAAACATATACATGACAGAAAGGAAAAACATCTACATGACAGGAAAAAAAAACATCTACACAACAGAAAGGAGAAACATCTATATGACAGACATGTGAAACAAACATCTGCATTACAGAGAGGAAAAACATCTAAATAACAGAAAGGAGCAACAAACATCTACATGACAGTCTCAGTGATCAAACACAAGAACACCAGGGAGCACTCACCACATCAGAGACTGCCTTCTCGTGAAGTTTATGTAGAGGCTTACAGTAAACTGTTTTGTTTCGCTCCTTGCTGATGGTGAAGATTTGATGAAAACTTTCATTGAAGATCAAATCTGAAGAGACAAATACAACATAGCAGATCTAAACATGGTGCCCAGACAAGAACTGAGGAGACAAATACAACATAGCAGATCTGAACATGGTGCCCAGACAAGAACTGAGGAGACAAATACAACATAGCAGATCTGAACATGGTGCCCAGACAAGAACTGGGGAGACAAATACAACATAGCAGACCTGAACATGGTGCCCAGACAAGAACTGAGGAGACAAATACAACATAGCAAATCTGAACATGGTGCCCAGACAAGAACTGAGGAGACAAATACAACATAGCAGATTTGAACATGGTGCCCAGACAAGAACTGAGGAGACAAATACAACATAGCAGATCTGAACATGGTGCCCAGACAAGAACTGAGGAGACAAATACAACATAGCAGACCTGAACATGGTGCCCAGACAAGAATTGAGGAGACAAATACAACATAGCAGATCTGAACATGGTGCCCAGACAAGAACTGAGGAGACAAATACAACATAGCAGACCTGAACATGGTGCCCAGAGAAGAACTGAGGAGACAAATACAACATAGCAGACCTGAACATGGTGCCAAGACAAGAACTGAGGAGACAAATACAACATAGCAGATCTGAACATGGTGCCCAGACAAGAATTGAGGAGACAAATACAACATAGCAGATCTGAACATGGTGCCCAGACAAGAACTGGGGAGACAAATACAACATAGCAGACCTGAACATGGTGCCAAGACAAGAACTGAGGAGACAAATACAACACAGCAGATCTGAACATGGTGCCCAGAGAAGAACTGAGACAAATACAACATAGCAGATCTGAACATGGTGCCCAGACAAGAACTGAGGAGACAAATACATCATAGCAGACCTGAACATGGTGCCCAGACAAGAATTGAGGAGACAAATACAACATAGCAGATCTGAACATGGTGCCCAGACAAGAACTGAGGAGACAAATACAACATAGCAGATCTGAACATGGTGCCCAGACAAGAACTGAGACAAATACAACATAGCAGATCTTAAAATGGTGCCCAGACAAGAACTGAGGAGACAAATACAACATAGCAGATTTGAACATGGTGCCCAGACAAGAACAGGAGACAAATACAACATAGCAGATCTGAACATGGTGCCCAGACAAGAATTGAGGAGACAAATACAACATAGCAGACCTGAACATGGTGCCCAGACAAGAACTCTTCCCCAAATGGTGTGCAAACATCAGATAATCTTCCCCACAAGTTGTGCAAACAATAGCCATTCTTCCCCACAGGTTGTGCAAACATCAGATAATCTTCCCTACAGGTTGTGAAAACATCAGATAATCTTCCTCACATGTTGTGAGAACATCAGATAATCTTCCCCACAGGTTGTGAGAACAGATAATCTTTCTCACAGATTGTGAGAACATCAGATAATCTTCCTCACAGGTTGTGAGAACATCAGATAATCTTCCTCACAGGTTGTGAGAACATCAGATAATCTTCCCCACAGACAACTAGTACAAGTCTCACCATCAAGGTGTCTGTCCAAGTGGTCATCTTCTGTCCACAACTGTCCTTGCTGTGATATCACAGACAAGATGAATTCCATCACCATCCCATCTGCCAACTTCAGATCTGCTAGATGTTTCACCTGAAACAACAACAGGTGTTACAGCAACAATCTGAAACACCAACATATGTTAACAAAAACAGTCTAAAACAAAAACAGGTGTTAGAACAATGTCTGAAACGACAACAGGTGTTTAAGCAACAGTCTAAAACAACAACATGTGTTAGATCAACAGTCTGAAACACCATCAGGTGTTAGAGCAACAGTCTGAAACAACAATAGATGTTACAGCAACAGTCTGAAACACCAGCAGGTGTTAGAGCAACAGTCTGAAACACCAATAAGTGTTAGATAAACAGTCTGAAATGCCAACAAGTGTTAAAGAAACATTCTGAAACAACAACAGGTGTTAGAGCAACAGTCTGAAACTGGTCATCTGGTAATGTGGTTGCTAGAGAATCAGTCTAAAACAACAAGAGGTGTTGGAGAATCAGTCTAAAACAACAAGAGGTGTTGGAGAAACAGTCTAAAACACCAGCAGGTGCTAGAGAAACAGTCTGAAACTGGTAATCTGGTAATGTGGTAATCTTAGTTTCAATTTCATAGTAAACGGGTCACCCCGTAGTTGTTCCGCTCCTGTGCTAACGAAAAATACACTGAATGTTTGTCACAATCCCCAGTGGAAAGATTGACAGACTTCTGTCTCAGTATATCTAGCATATACACGCAATAAAGCATACGGTCGCCATCCAAAGTGCTAACACAAGCAGTCCGACATTAGAAATGCAGTTCATCATGGATGGTAGCAGAGGTCACAAACAGGTCAACATACGATCAATTTAATCACATAATGGCACCACCAATATTGCGACAATAAGCATCGTGCCATATTCAGAATCTACAATGTTGGTAACAGTAAAAAAACATTCCAAATGAAAATTGCAGCTCACAGTGCCACGCCATGCACTTAACTCTTTGAGTCCCAGGGGGTTTTGCACCAGGGGCCCAAGGGGGTTAATATGATTTTGACTTTTAACAAATGCAGCACTTTAAAACAATCCTCACAACTGCAGCTGATGTCCAACATACACATATCATACATAAAATTAAACATAAATGGATAAGGATTAATATTAGCATACTGCTACAACAAACAATTATACTGTTAGTTAGTTTTTAGTAGAGAAAACAGTGACTTAGTTTGAGAGGTGAGTAAATTATGAACAAGTTTTTTCCACTTACCCAGAAGCTGATCCCAAAATTCTTGATATAGTATATCCAAAATACATCACAAAGGAAGGTACACCACTTATAAGTATGCAGAGCCAATATTAAAGCAAAATGTGCAATAGTTTTTGTTCCATAGCGATTTTAATAACACTACCATAACACGTCAAAATATATTCTCCAGTGGCACAAACAGTGATCTTTCTAAAAACAATTGAATTCCTCACATAGAAAAAAATTGTAAAGGCACTGTAAACATGTCAACCTGTTCATAGATATATATCTATGGTTTTAGATGATATGGATAGTAGTACTAGAAGCGCTGACATTTGGATTAGCTGGTGTCGCGTTTCGAGGTGCTTCTCTTGTGTTGCCAAGGCAGAATTAGTCAGTTTTGTCCTCTTAGCAGGAGGTAAATTACGCACACATCCTCATCAAAACTTGACTCGTCAACGGTTTGGGGAAATTTTACGTCGCTACTTTCATTATCCAACTCCACATTACTTTAATCGATCGACTGTTTTATCAAATTTGATGATTCTAAAGCAGTAAATCGCTTTGCTGGGTGTGAAGACGATGACTGATTGGACATATTTTTTTCAGACAATTGTTTGGTAACGTAGTAGACCACACAAATATCGATTTAAAGCGTTAAAAACTCACCAGACCCAAACGAATGCACTCCACGTGTGTTCACTACACACTTGAGAACCGGAAAGGAAGTTTAAATTGAGCGGTTCACTTGTAATTACCGATAAGTGGTAAATTAAAAACCGTCACACGTCATGCGCTGTTTGGGCCGCCAAGTAGTAAAAAATGAGCCCGTGATGCGTTCCTTGGGACTCAAAGAGTTAACTCAGAAGCTGGGCCACGAAACTATATCCATTCAGTCTAGAAATGGAGCAAAAATGCAACCGCCACAGTCACGAAAATTTGTCACTGCTCAAAATAGTAACGGTGCCTAGTGTCCATTTTGACCAGAAGTAATAAAAATAATATTATATTATTCATAATAAAATAGTAATATACAGTCTGAAACAACAAAAGGTGTTAGAGCAACAGTCTGAAACAACAACAGGTGTTAGAGAAACAGTCTGAAACAACAACAGGTGTTAGAGCAACAGTCTGAAACACTAACAAGTGTTAGAGCAACAGTCTGAAACAACAACAGGTATTAGAGCAACAGTCTGAAACAACAACAGGTGTTAGAGCAACAGTCTGAAACAACAACAGGTGTTAGAGCAACAGTCTGAAACAACAACAGGTGTTAGAGCAACAGTCTGAAACAACAACAGATGTTAGAGCAACAGTCTGAAACAACAACAGGTGTTAGAGAAACAGTCTGAAACAACAACAGGTGTTAGAGCAACAGTCTGAAACACTAACAAGTGTTAGAGCAACAGTCTGAAACACCAACAGGTATTAGAGCAACAGTCTGAAACAACAACAGGTGTTAGAGCAACAGTCTGAAACAACAAAAGGTGTTAGAGCAACAGTCTGAAACAACAACAGGTGTTAGAGCAACAGTCTGAAACAACAACAGGTGTCAGAGCAACAGTCTGAAACACTAACAAGTGTTAGAGCAACAGTCTGAAACAACAACAGGTGTTAGAGCAACAGTCTGAAACAACAAGTGTTAGAGCAACAGTCTGAAACATCAACAGGTGTTAGAGCAACAGTCTGAAACAACAACAGGTGTTAGAGCAACAGTCTGAAACACCAACAGTGTTAGAGCAACAGTCTGAAACAACAAAAGGTGTTAGAGCAACAGTCTGAAACAACAACAGGTGTTAGAGAAACAGACTGAAACACCAACAGGTATTAGAGCAACAGTCTGAAACAACAACAGGTGTTAGAGCAACAGTCTGAAACAACAACAGGTGTTAGAGAAACAGTCTGAAACAACAACAGGTGTTAGAGAAACAGACTGAAACAACAACAGGTGTTAGAGAAACAGACTGAAACAACAACAGGTGTTAGAGCAACAGTCTGAAACAACAACAGGTGTTAGAGAAACAGTCTGAAACAACAACAGGTGTTAGAGCAACAGTCTGAAACACTAAAAGGTGTTAGAGCAACAGTCTGAAACAACAACAGGTGTTAGAGAAACAGTCTGAAACAACAACAGGTGTTAGAGAAACAGACTGAAACACCAACAGGTATTAGAGCAACAGTCTGAAACAACAACAGGTGTTAGAGCAACAGTCTGAAACAACAACAGGTGTTAGAGCAACAGTCTGAAACAACAACAGGTGTTAGAGCAACAGTCTGAAACAACAACAGGTGTTAGAGCAACAGTCTGAAACAACAACAGGTGTTAGAGAAACAATCTGAAACAACAACAGGTGTTAGAGAAACAGACTGAAACAACAACAGGTGTTAGAGAAACAGACTGAAACAACAACAGGTGTTAGAGCAACAGTCTGAAACAACAACAGGTGTTAGAGCAACAGTCTGAAACAACAACAGGTGTTACAGCAACAGTCTGAAACAACAACAGGTGTTACAGCAACAGTCTGAAACAACAACAGGTGTTAGAGCAGCGGTCCGAAATATTGAAGTACTGTGCTACACACAGATTTATGTTATCATTCACAAAAGACACACACATGCATATACAGATACACACATGTATTTATGCTTATACACAGAAAAAAACCTACACGCAGAGAGACACACATACGTTTCCACAGGGACAAACACCTGTATGATCTCTCTAGTGACTGTATGATCTCTCTAGTGACTGTATGATCTCTCTAGTGACTGTATGATCTCTCTAGTGACTGTATGATCTCTCTAGTGACTGTATGATCTCTCTAGTGACCGAATGATCTCTCTAGTGACTGTATGATCTCTCTAGTGACTGTATGATCTCTCTAGTGACTGTATGATCTCTCTAGTCTCCGAATGATCTCTCTAGTGACTGTATGATCTCTCTAGTGACTGTATGACCTCCCTAGTGACTGTAGCAACCATAGAACATAGTGTGGTATTAGAAGTTTTCCACAGCGTCCTGAATCTGTATGTATTGGTAGTGAGAATCACAGTAGCAGGTGTCAGGCGTCATCTATTACTGTTGAGCAGAAGTCAATCAATCAAACAGGTGCCGTCTCCACAACGAAGGTTGGCTGCAATTGATCTCCAACACGCCCTGTCTCTTGCCCTTGATGTACACTCACTCATACTGCTGTTCGTCCATCTCTTGATGTTATCCTCGCACTTGTAACGCTGTCTGCCTCTTGCTCGCCTACCTTCAACCTTTCCCTCTAGGATGATCTTTACAATACTGTTATGTCTTTTAATGTGGCCAAAATATTTCACTTGTCTCTTTCCCCTGTCAACCTATATACACAGAGAGGGACACACAATCATGAGACCAGAGACATAAGGACACTGAAGACAACCAACCTCCCGCAACTGCCGCCTCATGACCTTGTTGTCGTAGTTCTGTAGGACCTCTGCCGCCACCAGCTGGGCCTCCTCTTTCACCTCAGGACCGATGACCTCTGACATAATGACAGTTTCTGCGGCAAGGTCAAACTGAACTTCTTCCAGCTGCAACGAGAACATAAAACTGTCATCTACACACAAGAACAGAACACTGTCACACACAAGAACAGAATACTGTCATCTACACACAAGAACAGAACACTGTCATCTACACACAAGAACAGAAAACTGTCATCTACACACAAGAACAGAATACTGTCACACACAAGAACAGAAAACTGCCATCTACACACAAGAACAGAACACTGTCATCTACACACAAGAACAGAAAACTGTCATCTACACACAAGAACAGAACACTGTCATCTACACACAAGAACAGAACACTGCCATCTACACACAAGAACAGAACACTGTCATCTACACACAAGAACAGAATACTGTCACACACAAGAACAGAAAACTGCCATCTACACACAAGAACAGAACACTGTCACACACAAGAACAGAAAACTGTCATCTACACACAAGAACAGAACACTGTCATCTACACACAAGAACAGAACACTGTCACACACAAGAACAGAACACTGTCACACACAAGAACAGAAAACTGTCATCTACACACAAGAACAGAACACTGTCACACACAAGAACAGAAAACTGTCATCTACACACAAGAACAGAAAACTGTCATCTACACACAAGAACAGAACACTGTCACACACAAGAACAGAAAACTGTCATCTACACACAAGAACAGAACACTGTCATCTACACACAAGAACAGAACACTGTCACACACAAGAACAGAAAACTGTCATCTACACACAAGAACAGAACACTGTCATCTACACACAAGAACAGAACACTGTCACACACAAGAACAGAAAACTGTCATCTACACACAAGAACAGAAAACTGCCATCTACACACAAGAACAGAACACTGTCACACACAAGAACAGAATACTGTCATCTACACACAAGAACAGAACACTGTCACACACAAGAACAGAATACTGTCATCTTCACAACAATAGAACACTGTCATCTAAAAACAACAACAGAACACTGTCATCTTAACACAACAAAAGAACACTGTCATCTCAACACAAGAACAGACCACTGTCATCTCCACACAAAAACAGAGCATTTTCATTTTGACACAAGAAACCTTAAATAAATCATGAAAATTGGACATGTGACAGAAATAAATGACAATGTGAAATGATGACATGTGACAGAAATATATGACAACTGGAAAAGATGACATGTGACAGAAATATATGACAACTGGAAAAGATTACATGTGACAGAAATATATGACAACTGGAAAAGATGACATGTGACAGAAATATATGACAACTGGAAAAGATGACATGTGACAGAAATATATGACAACTGGAAAAGATGACATGTGACAGAAATATATGACAATGTGAAAAGATGACATGTGACAGAAATATATGACATGGTAAAACTCTCATGTGGCATAAATAAATTGTCAAACTCTGACACATGATAGAAATATATGGCAAGGTCAGAGATGTGACAGACATACATGACAATGTGGTTGTTGTTTGTTTTGTTTAAGTATCCTGAAGCCATGAGTACATGACAATGTCAAACAATGATGTGACAGACATACATGACAACGTCAAACAATGATGTGACAGACATACATGACAATATCAAACATTGATGTGACAGACATACATGACAATATCAAACAATGATGTGACAGACATACATGACAATGTCAAACAATGATGTGACAGACATACATGACAATATCAAACAATGATGTGACAGACATACATGACAATATCAAACAATGATGTGACAGACATACATGACAATGTCAAACAATGATGTGAAAGGATGTGTTGTGTCAACATCAATTAAACAATATTTATCATCAAATGCCTGAACCAGCAATGTGAGAAAATGGGACATAACATAAATAAGTGTAGACATGAAAGTTAGATAATAAAGAGACATGAGATGAGACAAATACAGGAAAGTTATACAACAAAAAGACATGAGATGAGACACACACATGAAAGTTAGACAAGAAAGAGACATGAGATGAGACACATAAATGAACTAAAGAAAGAAAGTTAACTAAGACACAGGACTGAAATAAGACACAGTTGTGAGATTAGCCATAAAATGAGATAAGACAGACACAATTGTGAGATCTGCCACAAAGTGAGATAAGAAAGACATAGTTGTGAGATCTGCCATAAAGTGAGATAAGACAGACATAGTCGTGAGATCTGTCATAAAGTGAGATAAGACAGACACAATTGTGAAATAAGTCATAGTTAAGAATTCTAAACATAAAATTAAACAATGCTAAAGGTAACAACAAAACAATGCTGAAGATAACAACAAAGAATTCTCAAGATAACAACAAACAAAAATTATAAATTTAATGTTAAACAATGCTAAAGATAACAACAAAGAATTCTGAAGATAACAACAAATAATTCTTAAGATAACAACAAAGAATTCTTAAGATAACAACAAACACAAATTCTGAATATATTGTTAAACAATGCTAAAGATAACAACAAAGAATTCTGAAAAAAAAATTAAAAAATAAAGAATTCTGAAAATAACAACAAACATGAATTCTGAAGATGACAAATAATGCTGAAGATAAAAACAAAGAATTCTTAAGATAACAACAAACATTAATTCTGTATATATTGTTAAACAATGCTAAAGATAACTACAAAGAATTTTGAAGATAACAAGAAAGACTTCTAAAGAAAACAATAAACATGAAGTCTGAAGATAACAAAGAACAAGAATTCTGAAGATAACAACACAGAATTCTGAAGATAACCAATAATTCTGAAGATAAAAACAAAGAATTCTGAAGATAGCAACAAAGAATTCTGAAGATAACAACAAACAATGCTGAAGATAGGAACAAACAATAATTCTGAAGTTGACAACAAAAAATAATGAAGACAACAACAAAAATGCTTAAGATAGCAACAAAGAATTCAGAAGATAGCAACACAGAATTCTAAAGATAGGAACAAACAAGAATTGTGAAGATAGGAACAAAGAATAATTCTGAAGTTAACAAAACAAAAACAAAACAATGCTGAAGTCAACAAGAATAAATTTTGAAGATAGCAACAAAGAATTCTGAAAATAGAAACAAAGAATTTTGAAGATAGCACACAGAATTATGAAGATAGCAACAAAGAATTCTGAAGATAGAAACAAGGATTCTGAAGATAGCAACAAAGAATTCTGAAGATAGGAACAAGGATTTTGAAGATAGCAACAAAGAATTCTGAAGATGGCAACAAAGAATTCTGAAGATAGCAACAAAGAATTCAGAAGTTAACAACAACGAAAAAACAATGCTGAAGTCAACAACAAATAAACAAACCAAGTCAGTCTTAATCTCATCCAAGTGCTCATCCACCAAACCATGCATGATTCCTATGGCAAACTGTGTCTTCATGTACTGCTCTGCCAGCTCCACCACTGAGGATCGAACAATCTCTCGTACACCCAGCATGACCACATCCTCGATGAGTGTGGTGAGAAACTCTTCAAGTGGGTCACGTTGGAGGTCAATGTAACTGTTTACAGACAACATCTACATTAGTACCTCTCCCCAGAATCTCTACATAAACAGAGGTCTGCTCACAGACAACATCTACATTAGTACCTCTCCCCAGAATCTCTACATAAATAGAGGTCTGCTCACAAACAACATCTACATTAGTACCTCTCCCCAGATTCTCTACATAAACAGAGGTCTGTTCACAGACAACATCTACATTAGTACCTCTCCCCAGAATCTCTACATAAACAGAGGTCTGTTCACAGACAACATCTACATTAGTACCTCTCCCCAGAATCTCTACATAAACAGAGGTCTGCTCACAAACAACATCTACATTAGTACCTCTCCCCAGAATCTCTACATAAACAGAGGTCTGCTCACAAACAACATATACATTAGTACCTCTCCGCAGAATCTCTACATAAACAGAGGTCTGCACACAGACAACATCTACATTAGTACCTCTCCCCAGAATCTCTACATAAACAGAGGTCAGCTTACAAACAACATCTACATTAGTACCTCTCCCCAGAATCTCTACATAAACAGAGGTCTGCTCACAAACAACATCTACATTAGTACCTCTCCCCAGAATCTCTACATAAACAGAGGTCTGTTCACATACAACATCGACATTAGTACCTCTCCCCAGAATCTCTACATAAACAGAGGTCTGCTCACAGACAACATCTACATTAGTACCTCTCCCCAGAATCTCTACATAAACAGAGGTCTGCTCACAAACAACATCTACATTAGTACCTCTCCCCAGAATCTCTACATAAACAGAGGTCTGCTCACAGACAACATCTACATTAGTACCTCTCCCCAGAATCTCTACATAAACAGAGGTCTGCTCACAGACAACATCTACATTAGTACCTCTCCCCAGAATCTCTACATAAACAGAGGTCTGCTCACAGACAACATCTACATTAGTACCTCTCCCCAGAATCTCTACATAAACAGAGGTCTGTTCAAAGACAACATCTACATTAGTACCTCTCCCCAGAATCTCTACATAAATAGAGGTCTGCTCACAAACAACATATACATTAGTACCTCTCCCCAGAATCTCTACATAAACAGAGGTCTGCTCACAGACAACATCTACATTAGTACCTCTCCCCAGAATCTCTACATAAACAGAGGTCTGTTCACAGACAACATCTACATTAGTACCTCTCCCCAGAATCTCTACATAAACAGAGGTCTGCTCACAAACAACATCTACATTAGTACCTCTCCCCAGAATCTCTACATAAACAGAGGTCTGCTCACAAACAACATCTACATTAG